TTAAATATATTTATTTCTAAGTGTAGTGGGTTAGATTTGGTGGATGTTGGGTCATATACGGTGTCTGTGAATGCAGCATGAACATTCACCCCTCCCTTAGCTGTTAATCAGAGGTTAGTTATAAGGAACAGCTTTGGTCCACTCTTGTGTTCTGGCAACTTGCACTCTTTCTTGTTCAAGGTGGCAAAGATCACAGGCTGTTAAATGTTGCAGACCAGATTCTAGTGATGGCCAAATGACGCTTTCTGAAGCATTGAAGCTTGTATTGAAAAACGGTTGAAAAATACCACGTTACATATAATATATATATAATAATGTACAACACATTATGGAGTACAGTTTAAGATTATTTACAACATAAAATGTATATTTTTATAACATTAAATGTAAAGAGTCAAATAGAAGTCTTTCTAAAGATATTTAATGATATTTATATTAGGAAAAGCAGATTTTTGACATTTTAAGTTTTTCCCGATGTCAGATAAAATAAACACGCACAAAACAAAAGCAAACAGCCAGAACACAAAGCTGGAAAACCCACCCGATTGACCAAAATCAACTCAAAATAGTCCCACACAACAGAACCTCCTCTATTCCTCGCTGGCTCCAAATCTCTCAGTAAAAATATCAGTGGTTTGCTATCTGTCACCATCAAAACACCACAAATCCCGCAAATGATTCACTTCCTTATAGACCATTGAATCAGACACTGAAGCAGTTAGGTTCTAAATGAAGCTTCGGACGTCACTGATCACGTGATTCTGGCCAAACGAATCAAGCTTCGACACAGTGCTTCTGAAGCAGTGTGTTGATTTTTTTTGACACACGCACCGGAGTGTCAGCTTCAAGCGGGCCATCACTACCAGATTCCTTCCCCCTTGCAATTGCTTACTCTGTATAACTGTTAAAGGGTGGTAAGTAAGATAGCATATAATAGGATGGACCTTGTATGACTGTTTTCCCTCTTTTGTTACAGGCCTACACACTGCTGCTTTATTGCTGTAGTCTTGTTGTTTTACAATAATTTATGTGCTGGCCTTGACTGGTTCCTTGTTTTATGGTATTTTACTGTAAATTACTGTAAATAAACATTTCATATTGCAGAACAGCTAATTATTAATGCAGTGT